CTAAAGAGCAAGGCAGCTTCACGATGAACTGTCCCGGAGGGATAGGAAGCAAGAGGCGGACCAGCCGAAACGAAGTGTATTACAGGATATAGAAAAGCTTTTTGGAGAGGATGGTGATGAGGTGCAGCAGCCACTGCAAGAGGAGAGGCATTTCGAAGCAAACAGAGAAACAATGGCGCGTGACGAGATAGAATGAGCCTGCTATGGTGAGCAAGGGACCGGGGAGATAATATTTTGCAGACTACGTGGTCATTGGTGCCAAGGCGACATCACCAGCAAACGTGGATGAAGGAAGAGACTAGGGAGAGGCAGATACCGCATTTTGCACGCAATGGGAACCAAGGACGGAATTGGCAACCGCCACGTAAGTATCATGATGAATTATTAAGCACTGATGAATTAAAACTTGTGGCTAGCGCTGGGAATAGTGGGGCCTCAGAAAGAGAGTTAATGAAGGTGATGGTGGGGTGCAGCCAGCGAATGCAGGTTCGGCTGCCACCGCTAAAAGTTTTCGGGGAAAGTAGGACAGAATGAACAAAGGTTTACGGACTTCATTGAGTTTTTGTAAGGTTTAAGATGGAAGAAGGCCACACGAAAATTAGGTATTTGAAGGCTATTCTCGAGGGGATGGCTCTTGACGCATTCCTCAAAATCCCAGAACACGTACGCAGTGGAAACATTTTTCTGGAGGTAGTAATGGCGCTTCGAAAAGCCTTAACGGATTCTTCTACGGTGACAAGGATTATACTTCAGAATGAGTTGATCAGTATAAGACTGAGACCAGTGCAACCTATGGTCGAGTTCTTCGCGTACGTTGACAAGAAGGTCGTGGCAGCATACTCCTCCATGTTATACGTGAACCATCAGTTTATTGGTGGAAGAGAGTGTGGGATAGTCACAGAGGCAGTGCGGGATAATGCGGAGTTAATAACGAGAATAATGACCGTCATTTCTACGGCACGTCCAGGGGGCGCTTACGTAGCCGTATAAGAAACCGCGCTAAAGTATGATCGTGTACGATATTGTATGAGGGGTTATAAACGTGGTAGTGGAATGAAGAGTTGAGACAGGAAGAATTAGGGGAAACATGAGAAGTCTGCAGTTGGCAGACAGAGTAACTACTACGATGCTAGGAGAAATGAAGGTAATGGGAGATATGCGGCATCGCGAGTCCAGCAAAAGCGGTTGTCAGAGGCAAGTAATAGGAAACTGGGGAGCGGAAAAGAAAGGGATAGGCAACCCCTAATTTGTTATTTTTGTGGGGAAAAGGACCATACTGCGAGAGTATGCTCAACAGCAGCCATCCATAGAATAGCCACAGACCTTGGAGCTAAAGTAGAACGAATAGAAGATTACGAATCGGAAGAAGTGATCGGGAAAAAGTTAGTGGCTGAGGTACTTTGCTTAGGGGAGCCCATGGCAGCACTAATAGACAGCGGTACAATGGTGTTTTTGATGACAGCGGAAGGTTGGAGCAGTTAAGAGCCAGGAAGAGGGACGGGTTCATGTGGACGTTTCAGAACAGTGGGAAACTACTCACTTCAAGAACAGCGTCAGGCCAGATAATGGAACTGTTAGGGGAGATGAAGCTTAACATAGTCTTAGGAAAAGTTTGCAGGCCTGTGCATGTATTCGTGCAGCCAGGAACTAGAGAAGAACTATTAGCACTAGGAATGAATGCGCTTGGCGCGTGCAAGAAATAGCGGAAAGAAATAATGAGAATTATGGAGGAGCAGCCGAAAAGTCCCAGGACTGTAAGGTGCAGAAAACATACAGTGATTCCGCCGATGTCATCGAAATTAGTCATATGCACAATATCGGAAAATCAGGTTAGTTTCGGTATGATAGAGCAGACGAAAAGGGGAGTATAAAGAGGACTAGTACAGGACAATGCTTCGGAT